GAGTTTCTGATACAACTATTTTTAATAAGATTTTTGAGATAAGATGATTTATAAAAACCCAGAAAAATTGCAAAACTAGTAAAGAATAATGAGAAATTTAAAAAAGTATATATATATAATTGAGATTATTTATTACATTGCTAAAGATTTGCTAAAATGTTTAAAATATTAAAAAAAAGTAGATTTTTGAACTTGTTTCTTGAAATAAAAGAAAACAAATTGATGAGTTTCTGAATGTTTTTTAATTAATAATAATAATCAAGAAATTTCGTATTACTGAAAAAGAGCAATAAGTATATGTTCTAATTCAATTAATCAAGGAACGGGTTATGTTTTTTAAAATTTATTTTTTTTTATCATAACGTAATATACGCTTGTTATATTTTATCCTAAAATCAACAAATAAGCTATACATAGATGATTTTAATATTATTGTCACGTAAGAAATTTCTTCGCTTTGATCTGATAAGTGTCGATAAATGGAAATCTTTTTTAAAAATTTGGATCAATTATTTAAAATTTATAAATTCATGAATTTATAATTACCCTTTAATTCTTAAAGGAATCGACAGTGTACTGGATTATAAACTAGTGGCACCCATTGTTTGTCAAAATAGTCATTTTTAATTGTACAACGCTTTTTTGCCTTTGAGCCTTTAACCATTTCTATTAATCCATTTGATATTCTTATACAAGGTTGTCCCAAATAGACACATATTCCAATCAAATGCAAAGTGTATTGAACATCCTTTTGATCAATACCGGTTTGATAAGCAATTTCATCAACTGAAATTTCTTCATTAGCTTTTAATAATACTTCAGTAATCGCTTCCATCCAATATTGTTGATAAGATAATAATCCAAGATCTGATAAAGGTTTTTCGGGTGTGCCAACTTTACCTTGCATTTTGGATATTGTATATGAAAATGCTATTAGGAACCTACCGTAACCTTTCCTTTGATGTTGAGGCAATGTAAGGATACATGCGAGATTATTCTCCATATTGTATTTCTCCTTAGAAAAATATCCAATTATACAATATCCAACTTCATTATAATAGCATAATATGTAAAATAAGAATGGTAAAGTATCATAAGCGAGAAGCTTATGATCAAGGAAAAGCTTTGAAAGTAAACATAAGCTTTGGCAATATGTTGGCTGCCTTTCTCCGTTAACTTCGAACATAGCGAGATTTTCTATTTCATCTTTGTAAATTTGATTTCCCGGAGGATGAAATAAATTACATTTTTTCTTGTGACGTCTGAATTGTAATTCACTTATGTAATAACTCAAGCAAAACTCACAAATGTATACAACAGCCGCATCATTAAATTCTTCAGGATATGGTGAGAAATACCAAGGTTCAATCAGATCTTCTCCTATTTGAATTTCCTTAATATTTTTTACGCGTATTTTAATTGGTTTGAAACTCTTACCACCTGAAGTAATTCGTGTTTTATCCTGATTTATTTGTGCGGTTGAAGGTTCATCAATTTTTGGACTTGAATTATTACTATTATATCTGATTGAAGGTGGAGGTGTTAAGTATTTTAAAGCCGGAGATCCGTCATTCATATTTGAATCATTATCACCAACATCGCCATTCACGTCTGAAGAAGGCAGCAATTGTGATGCAGGTGATTCTGGACTATAAAAGAAAATATCCTGGGAATCTTCACTTTTTATTGATGTTTCCAAAGCAAACGTAACAACATCATCTTGAGAATCTTCAAGTAACGTAGGCGTTTTTGCGATAGAAATCGTATCATCTTGAAGTAATTTTTTTTTCTTAGGTAATTTGATATCCACCTCCCTTTTGGTATCAATTTGATCAGATCTCACCCATTCATCAAGTCTTCTATTATGTAACGCGTAAGTAATATAATATTCGTGAATATTTTCATCATTAATTCGAACAGCAAGAACTTCGCCTACACGACAATTTGATTCATCCTCCATGTTATTGGTGACTTTCACGTAATAGTAACCGCCAATTGTGATTTCACATTCCAACGGTTCTTTATTTGAAGTTTTTGAACATGATTCATACTTTATTGAAGGGATGGGGCTAATTGTATCTCGTTTTGACCTCAATCTCATGTTATTTATGGTAGATGAATCTGCTGATCAAGAATTATTTTATTTTTATTTTTATTTTATTTGATTTTATTTTATTTGATTTTTATAAAAGGAAAAAAAAAAAGTTCAAAAATTCCTTAATACTACAGTAATTTTTTTCGTTATAAAACCGCGTTATTTTTTTTTTTTTTTTTTTGAAAAAAAAAAGGGAAAGAAAGAAAAAGAAAAAGAAACTTACTAATAGTCACAAAACAACGTTTTAAATGCAATTTTTGAATGTGTGGGAATGGGAATGAATCATTATTCAAAAAAAGTAAAAAAAGTATTTATAGTCAATCACGTGCTTTCGAGTAAATCGAACAACTTCATTAATCCGTAAGTAAATTAGCTCTATTTGTCACATGGAATATTATTCCGTGATGTGATTATAACATTTATTACAAAAGATTCAAATAATGGCCTGGATAGATCCAAATTTTTCTGAGATCGCGAAAAATGAAACAAAGATTTTCAGCACTCGATATCCGAGCAACAGTGTCCGATTTGAGAGAAAGGTACAGTAGAACTTTTTTTTTTTGATTCGTAAAAAATGTTCATTTATTAACACTCCTTTTTTAATTAAATTCACTATAGGCTCGTTGATCTTAGGTTACAGAATATCTACGATATAAACTCAAAAACTTATCTTCTCAAGTTTTCAAAGGTAATTGTTTATCCAATAATATTTGTTCCTCGGAGATCAAATTTTTTTTTTGAATTTAATGAATTAATTCTTTTTCACGCACCCTTACACAATTTTCTATGGAATAACTTTATAATTGACAAATTAAGCCGGATAGAAAGGAACTTTTGTTGATTGAATCTGGATTTCGAATTCATACAACACAATTTTCTCGTGATAAGTCGATAACTCCATCGGCTTTCTGTATAAAGGTATTCTTTTTTTATAGTAACAAAATGACTTTAATTTAATAAAATTTTTTGTTTCAATTGTTCTTTTTTCATACAAGTTGCGAAAACACATTAGAACAAGAAGATTGATCAATGTCAGACAACTCGGTATTGATAGAATTATTGATTTTGAATTTGCTGGTGCTTCAGAAGGCGCCTCATATCATATTATAGCTGAGTTTTACGCATCGGTAATTTATCTTATTAATTGTTTTTAATGTAAATATTATTGAATATAAGTTAACATTAGAGAATTCTTCATTTGAAATTAATGGGATGATAGGGTAATATTATTTTTACCGATCAAGACTATACCATTTTGACTTTGATACGTATCGTTCAACAAGAGCAAATGATAGTTGGTCAAAAATATAATGTTAATACCGTTGCGCGTGTTGCTGAACCAGTAACACGATCACGATTAAAAGAAGCATTAACTACTTCATCTAATAAAGAAGCCAAAGAACCATTAAGAAAGATTTTAAATACTAGGTTGAGTATGTTGATAACCTAATCTTATTAATATATTGATTTTATATTATTCATTTTTTCTTTCTTTAATCTGAATTTATTCTTATATAGATTACGGACAGGCGCTGACTGAGCATGCGATTCGTTTTGCTCAATTGGATCCTAATATGAAAGTTGGAACAATAGACATTTCTGATGGTTGGATCTTTATTAACCCTTTTTTTATATTATCTTTTAAATTACCTTTATATTATATGTTAATGAAAAATTAAAATTTTAGATTCGGAGCATTTTATTGCATTAGAAGCAGGATTTAAAGATGCAGACCGCATTTTAGAAGAAAGTGCAAAAATTAAGCAAAAGGTAATATATTTGTATTCTTCATAGATATAATCTTTATATTAATTTATATTCTTTAATACACTATCAAGGGATATATAATCATGCTCCACCATTCGGAACGTTCTTCCACAGCAGGTGAAATTTCACAACAAGATGATGAATGGGATACGTAAGTTCTTTCTTAGACGTTTTTGAGCTAATCCTGTCATTTTATTGTTTAAATGTTTCTAATTTATTTAACTTTACATAAAGCTATGATGAGTTCCATCCCTTTCTTTTCGAACAACACAAATCTAAATTATATAAAGAATTTGATTCGTTTGACTTAGCGGTTGATGAATATTATTCTTCTATGGAAAGTCAAAAATTAATTATTAAGCAGAAAAATCAAGAAAAGGCTGCGTTCAAGAAATTGGAAGCTATCAAAAAAGAACAATATTCACGCGTCGAAAACCTTCAAAATGCTCAGTTATCAAATATTCGCAAAGCTAAATTAATTGAAAGTAATGTGGATATGGTAGATCAAGCAATTTTGGTTATAAGAAATGCAATTGCTACTTCTATAGATTGGAAAGATTTGGAAAATTTAGTACTAGAAGAAAGGAAGAAAAACAATCCTTTAGCGGAAGTAATCGTTGGATTTAAGTTGGAATCAAACCAGATCACCTTATTATTAAGGTATTTTATAGTTAGACCTATTTAAATATAAGAATGGAATTAGTTAAATATTATACTTATATTATTAACATATATATTAAAAATTTAGAGAATACGAAAAAGATGATGAGGCATTTTATGATTCTTCTGATACTGAATCCGAAAATGAAAACAACACGCCCCAACAAATAGTACAAGAAAAAGTTGATGTTGACATATATTTATCCGCATTTGCGAATGCAAGAAAGTACTATGATGTTAAAAAGCAATCTGCTTTTAAACAAGTTAAAACATTAGCTGCAGCGGATAAAGTATGATTTTACGTAAAGTCTTTCTATGATTTGAATGGATTTAATTTATATACCACATATTTCTTTATTTTTTTTTTTCCTTTGATAGGCCTTCAAAAGTGCCGAACAGAAAATTAAACAAGATCTTAAGGAGACGAAAATTACAGCGTCTATCAACAAGATCCGTAAACCTTTTTGGTTTGAAAAGTTTTTTTGGTTTATTTCTTCGGAAAATTATCTTGTTATTGCTGGACATGACATGCAACAAAATGAGCTGATAGTTAAAAAACATCTTCGTAAAGGTAGTTAAAATATGTTGATCGTTGTTTTTATTTGCAAACTTGCAATATTTGTTTTAATTTATCACAATGCTTATAGGGGATTTGTATGTTCACGCTGATTTACATGGTGCTGCATCAGTTGTTATTAAAAACCCTAATGAGGGTCAACCAATACCCCCGAGCACACTTTTTCAAGCCGGAATCATGTCCGTTTGTCAAAGTAAAGCATGGGAGGCTAAAATAATAACAAGCGCCTTTTGGGTTAATGCAGATCAGGTTTGTATATTATTTAAATTTTTAAAGTCTATCGAATTTTTTATGAATGGTTTATTAACAAATTTATTTCAGGTTTCCAAAACCGCTCCGACAGGAGAATATCTTACAACGGGTTCTTTTATGATTCGAGGTAAAAAGAATTTCCTGCCCCCGGTTCAATTGGTTTACGGTTTTGGTTTCCTCTTTCGATTGGATGAACAAAGTATTGCAAACCATTTGCATGAACGTCGCCCAATAAGAAATGAAGAAGAATTGGACGATAATATTCAAGCACCAATAGAAGTATGTGATTTATTTAAAGTGTTTTTTATTATTCATTATTATAAGTGAATGATAAGTTATCAACTTATATTTAACTTACAGGAGCAAGAAATCAAGGATGAGTCATTGAATGGTGACGATATAGATACGCCTGGTAAATATTTGAACATGAAAAATTTTTTATGAATCGTAGTTTATTTCTAATACTAATAATAATAAAAAAAAAACTCAAGAAGACAGAGAAGATTTTGAATTACATTTAGAATACTTAAAAAAACCAGTAGATCAGGATAAAAATGAATTTAACGGAATTGCCACTAAACAAGAGGAAAATCAAGAATCGCAACATCAGCAACAACAACTAGGTCTAGATGAGTCTATTGATGACACATTGCCCGCTAAAAATGTTCATTCTATTGATATTTCGAAATGGGACAAATATAATTTGGATGATTATGGCGTAGATCAAGATGATGCAGTTCAAGGGAGTGAAAAGCCAGTACATATTTATAAAAAATTTTTTTTTGAGTTTGTCTTTAGGTTGTCGCTTGTTGATGATTTTAATTGAATCCTTATATGCTTCGTAGGCCACTAAAAAGAAATATATATCAGCTAAAGAAAGAAAGACTTTGAAAAAGCAAAGACAAGTTAGCATAGGAGATACCATTTCTGGAGGAATGGATAGTAACCAACAAATTAATAAGAAAGAAGATTCAAACGCTGCGGGTCAAGAAAAGGTATTTATTTTATTAATATTTGAAACAAATAAATTATTTTGGGGCATATGTATTTTGTTTATATTAATCGTAACTTATATTTGATATAGCGGACAAAACAATCATCTCAGTTACCTCGCGGTAAAAAAGGCAAAATGAAAAAATTGAAAGATAAATATGCAGATCAAGACGAAGAAGAAAGAACACTTCGTATGGAATTGCTTGGTGTAAGTGTATTAAAAATTGTTTAATTAAATTGAAAATTTTGATTCTTTGTATTCGATAAAATAATACATAATTATGCAGTCAAATAAAGCTCCAAAAAATAAAGGAAAGAAAGGCAAAAAAGAACCTATAAACTCAAATGCATCAAAACCAAATAAGAGAAACAATATCACTGATGGAGAACAAAATATATCAACACCTTTCCGTATTGAGGACCAAGATATATCTTCACATAATCCAGAAACCGATCAAGATTTTAATGAGCAGCAATTAGTAAGTTTTAAAATAATTTGTTTGTTGCGCAAACTGCATACACTTGAGATTTATTTAAGTTATTTTTTTATTATTTAAGGTTTCAAATATAAAGAATGAAGAAGAAGAAATTCGACAACTTCTTAAGGAAGAAAACATTACTTTATTGGAAACAGAGACTTTGGTAATGTTATAATTATATAGATAATTATTTAATTGTTATTATTAATTCAAATTTTTATTTATAGGAAAGTTTGACAGTGTTGGATACATTGACAGGATTACCGCTGCCCGAAGATAATCTACTTTTCGCTGTCCCAGTTTGTGCACCATATATCTCTTTACAAAAGTATAAATACAAGGTCAAATTAACTCCTGGATCAACGAAGAAAGGAAAAGGTATGCATAATTCAATCGTGCTAATATAATTTGTTTATTGTTAATTCTGACCTACCCTTCCTTTTTTTAGCATGTAAGACAGCTACATCGTTCTTTTTAAGCGATCCACAGTTGACACCACGAGAGAAAGAACTTATTAAAAGCGTGCCTGACACAGAAATGATATCAGTGATGTTGGGTAAATGTAAAGTTTCAGCACCAAATATTGAACAAGCTAAAAAATTTGCAAAGAAAGCTGCAAAAATAGCATCAAAAGAAGCAGCAGCTAGTCGAATAAAATCAAACGTCTAGGTAATTTCGATTAAAATGTATATAAATTTATTTAATAAACAACGATGTTTATTTAAAAATTGAAGAAACAAAAAAAAATAATATTTATATAAATTTTGCAAGGTTTATTAATTTAAACAGGTTATTATAATAATAATTCCTTAATTAATAGTGGGTTTTCTAAAAATGATATTCAAAAAAAAAAATTTGTAAAGAATAAAATAAATATTTTGTTTTATTAAATAATAAATAATTATTTATATAATGTATCTAATAGAAAAAAAAGAATTTTTATAATTATTAATAAAAATTACTATTAAAAATTTAATGAATTAATTTTAAAAAATACAAATAATTATTTAACTATTTTATTATATAGGATTTTTGTAACAGAAAGCAAAAAAAAAAAAATCAATTTTACACTTAAATATGATTTTTAGATCAAAATACAATAGCGGTCATAAGTATCTGACCGCCTCTAACTCCGGCTACAAGTAAGTAAATTCAAAAATTTTTTTTTTATTTAAAAAATACATAATCAACTAACTAAAATTAATACATTGT